ATAATAATAATAATAATAATAATAATAATAATAATAATAATAATAATAATAATAATAATAATAATAATAAATAAAAATAAAAATAATAAAAATAAAAATAAAAATAAAAATAAAAATAAACAATGATAATAATAATAATAATAATAATAATAAGTTTTTTTAAATAATCAAGTGAAAATATCCCAGGTAGAAAAGGATAGAAAATCATTAAGAAATTGGAATTCCTTTGAGATTCACAAAAAAACAAACCTTTTTCTACTGTAATAATTTAATTTTCTTATAATGAATCTTTTAATGCTATTTAGAACTTTGTCGAGGTTATGGGCTGCCAGTATGGGGTACTAGAGCAGAACTCGAAGATCGTATTCGGTAATTTCGCTATTAATTTAGTCATCTTCCCTATTATCTTTTTATCAATCTATTATAAATACTTTATAGAGATCAAGAAAAAACTACAACAAAAAACAGAATATTTGATTATGCTGTAAAGCGAATTAAACCCGAAGCTTCTTTGCCGCCTCTAATCTTGACTTCACCACCATCGCCAAAACATTTCCCATCGTCAGCCTCATCACCATTCACACCAACAACAACACCATTGTCAACAGCACTTCAGTCAAAATCTTTGTGCTTGCCTCAGGCAAAAAACCTTGAATATGATTTAGAATCTGTTGAAAAAGCTGTTGCGGAAACTTTGTGTATTATGGAAGCTGCCAGGTAAAATTTTTAATCCTACATTTTAATTCGAATTTTGTATCCTTGTCATAACTAACAGCGTATCTAACTTTCTTCATTTATTTAGAACACTTATGAAAATGAATATTTATGTATGATCAAGTAAGTATAAAAGAAAGTTTTCCATTGACTTTTACTTTCTCAGCTCGGAGTTTTCTAATTTACGTCTGTTTTATTTTTGCCTTGGAGTCAATGCTCTAATCGAAATTATAATTAGCTAGCAATCGGTTTTACTCTTCATAAAAATTGGCAAATTCGTTGTTATATTTGAACTATCAATTTTAAAATTTGTTTCTAAAATACTATATCACAAAATTTATTAGAATTTATAATTCTCTATATTCTATACGCGCATTTTTTACTTTTGCAATAAATATTCAGACATTTGTTGTTGATTTCAGATATATATGAAATGAACAATTACCATCATAATTGTGGGTCAAACCAACCGAGAAAAATTCTATTAAATTTCTTAATAAATGATGCTTCTTATTTCTTATATGCATAGTGAGGCATGCAAAAAATTTGTCCCTAATCAAATATAAAGAGGCAGGCATAATTATTTCTCATATGAAATTTTATTATCTCTTAAAGTTAAGAATATTTGCACAAGCAATTAGAGAAGCTGAAATTTATGGTGCATCAATTCGCCAGTTATCACTGATATCATTATCCAATGAATCAATCAATAACGATAACGATAAGCCGTAATAAGCCAATTGATTAACGTCATGTAACGTGTAAATTCTTGAAATCGATTCAATCTCCTCTCTTAAGTCACGACACAACTTCCAACGCTGTAACAGAACCTGAAAAGCTTTACTACAATCATTTTGTATAAAAATATTTCGAAAAAGACTGTTTACTTGAACTTCTTGCATAAACAAATCATCAATAGAATTCTCATCTGGATTATCTGCCATCCATGCAAGCGCTCGTATTTGATGTTGTAGTTCCAGAATTGGGATTACAAGCTCGCGCAGATACTCAAAGAATTGTGGTGGCGTCAAAGGGTCAAAGTCTCGAGAGAATTCTTGAAACTTTTGTTGCTCGACTATTATTTCTTCTTCTTCGAAGTCGTGATCGGAATCGTCGCTGTCCGATGAGATGCTGTTTGCTCGATTATTGTTGCAGCTGTATATGCCTGATTCGCTTGAGTTGCTGTTATTTTTAATTGGTGCAGTTTGGTTTGTTTCCTTTGGTGACATGATTTGTGTGTTATGTTAAAAATTTAAAATTAAGTCAATTAATTTGAATTTAAGGTCTAATGACTCTATTCTTATTATATATAAGTCTATATTAAGTATATTTTTTATTTTAAAAATTCATATTTTTCTAGTGTTGCATATTGTCAATTCTCAAAAATACATATCCTCTTTATATATACAAATCTTATTTTTAAATAAACTCCTACCGCGTAGGTTTTGATTTTGTTTATTTCTTTCTTGGCTAATTTTTTTTAGTTATCCATCAATTGTGCTATTATTTAAATTGATATAATCACACCGCACAGATGCACAGATACAAGTACATATATACGTACATGTACATTGTTACTGCTGATGACATTATTGATTGTTTTAACTTTATTGTTTGAAGCTCAAATAACTTTGTGGTGTGTTTCTGTTTGTTCTTAGGATGAACTTGTTATTGATAATTTGGATGGCCAAATATACTCCACCTACCCTAAAATTTCGACACTCGAAAATCCTGCAATACGAAAATTCTGACATACTAAAATCCCTGAAATATTAAAGTTCCGGCAATACCAATACCCTAACTAGAGATTGGTCCTGCCATAAAATTCCACGACCGGATCATTTACAGGTCATATTATCGTAAATCCATCTATACGATTCCGGTTTACTCAACCATCAAATGTCTTCATGAAGGCATTTGAGAGGCAGCATCATGTTTTGCTTCGTTATTACCCGCTTATAATATTGGGCTAATTCCATCATCCCATCCACCAAGAAGCTCAACAGAGAAAGAGTTTACAAACATGATCAGTTCTGAGATCACGATGACTATTAATTTAGATTATCGTGGCAAGGGCAGTGTAACAACCACCTGAATGTTAGTTTCAGTACTGTATAGAGGCCCGGGCCCAGGTATTATTGTGCCTTTAAACGCATAATTTAACTTCATGATCACAGTAAAATATCGGTTCTCGTATTTTCGGGTAAACGGATCCAATCTTTAATCTTGACACTCCTAAATTCCGATATGCTCACGAATTCTGAATTTCTTAAAAGATGATTTTAACAAAGATAAAAAAATGCTTTTAGACCTATTTTTAAATCTCGAAAATGAATGGTAGCAGTTCAAACTGAAAATTACATTTACACTTTCTTTGATGTTTAGAGATAAAGAATTATGTATTTTGATGAATTTCGTTTTAAAATAATGAACATATTTTAGTGTAGTGCAGAATGTGGTAAATTATAATCTATGGTATACGAATTTTCGTCAACAAATATTTTTCTCCAAGAAACATTCTACAACTTTACATCAAAAATTAAAAATGACTTTAGGTTAAAATTCTGAGTTAATCAAGTATTGGCAGCAGCATATACATGTACCATGTACATGTAATATCAAGTCATCATCACCTCCACCTCATCATAAGATGCAAGCATGCGGGTGATTGATTTATTTAATGATTCTTGAGTTAGGAACAAGACTTGCAACTATGAAATAAGTATTTATCGCAATTTGGTTTGAATGCGTTTGTATAAAAGAAAGAGAATTTAGATTACAAAAAAAAGACAGAAGATACAACATTTCCTAAATAAAATTAACAAAAATCGACAATGAAACCTGAGCAAGACTATACAGAATCCGAATATGGCGAATTTGACACTGACCACATAGAAGGTGATTCTCTCTTTGACAGTTGCAGCGAAGTTGACAACAACAATTATGATTCGGAAACTGAACAAGAAACTTACGAAGAAGAAACTTACCAAGAATTCTGTGGCGACTTTGATAGAGAAAACGTGTCGTTCGAATTTTTCCAAGCTTTACGGGAACGAGTTACTCCGATTCTCGAATTGAAAAATCAATTACAAATTTTAAGATATAAGATTGACAATGATGAGCGTTATACTTCAAGTCAACTTTTAGGACAAGAGCTGGAGATGCATCGTAGTTTTGAACTCGCGTTTCCCGGTGATATTGATGATCATCCGGATAAAGAGTGGAGAGTATTTCGTAATTATTTAGATGACGCGAGATTGGTTGTTGAAGATTTGTGTTCGTTACTCGATTATGGTCGGTTGTGTTTACATTCACATTGGCCTCATTATACTCCTTCTGAACAGGAAGACGAAAAAGAGTGCGAATGAAGAATAATGAGTAATATTTCACTGGTTTTTAACATTCTCCCTGATTTATTTATTGATTTTTCGTTTAATTTAGACTTTGTAGTGTCATGATTTTGACTTTTTTTTTCAACATTATAACAACAAAATTTAGTTTTAATAACTTAATAATATTAATAAAAGATTGATTGTATTGTGATAAGCATTTTAGAATGACGCTTAAAAAACTTTATTATTGATATACTGCTCTATCGCTTTACATATATTCAAGAAATAAATAAAAGTGCCTTACGGAAAAAATTTTTCCTGGTCGAATGCCGGAAATCCTCAAGTGCTAAAGCTTTAACATAATAATTCTCGTCATATTGATAATGACCAATTTTTTACAATAGATTTAAATGTTAGCCTCGAATAGCAAACGTGTATTGACACAATAATTTCCATTTAGAACGAATTTTCATATAACTTCATAGCACACACTATATTTGCTTGGTCGACATTGATTGCTTTCTGTTGATGAAAAGTAAAAAGCACTATTGAATTGGGATGCTCGCCAAAGATGATAATGCATTACAAAATTTACATACATGTAACATTAATTCTAATGTCTGGAATATTTTGAACGGACTTTTTTGAAAGTTATATTATTTCTGATGCAAAAATAAATACTCAACATCGTAAAAATATTTTATTCTTTATATTTCATCCTTCGTCATATCAAACTTTGCTATAAAAATTGGCGCTAAAAAAATATGTTTTAGAATTTCGTTCCTAATTTTCAATTTACAAAAGAACTTATTATATTTCATCTCTCTAAAGAAAATTTTAAATTTTCCAGCTTAAACACTCGATTATGAAGAGGGATCAAAAAATTTTATAAACATACAGTGGCCTGCAAAAATAACGCACCACTTACATTGTTAATCATTAATCACCTGATTCTCACTCACATGCAA